CAATTTACGGTTAGCCTGTTGTTTCTAGGTTCCTTACTCTCCGAAATGAAGATGTATTTTGAGCGGGGATTAGGGGGTTGTTAACTAGTCGGTGATCACCAGCTGCAAGGCTCCCATACCCTCAGGCAGTGCTAAGATAAGCTCCGTTACTGCAGCGACATCTAATGGCCAGAGAAAGCAACGCACGTTTGCATTTAAAAGCAGTCTGTGGTTCTGTTTTGGGGAGTTAATTTTTTTTAAGTAGGCGGGACAAGGTATTAGTGTTTATTAACTCCTGTAAAATAACACTTTGATCGCAACCGTAAGATTTCGCTTCCCGTATCTTTGGATGACATTTATGTTGTCATTCATAACTGGATGCTGATCATATATTGTGAAAACCATGCAATTGCCTCTTTGGAATTTTTTGTTTTTTTTTTTTACAACCATCATGACTTTGCACTTATTTGAAAGCTTCTTGTTGAAGTTCTGTGTATGCATTATGCATAAGGTTTCCATACAAGGGAAAATATGATCAAATTTACCCCCAAATACCCACTTCTAGTGTACAGCAGATTGTTGTAGTAGGTATATATTCTAGAGTAGAATGTAGTGGTGGCTAGATTACCCCATAAGAGGTCATTGTTCTAGCTCTCAGGTGGAAAAAGGAAAGCTAAAAGTTTACAGAGAAGACTGAAACCTCCACCCTCACATTTAGATGTCAGTGAATTTCATCTGAAACCCTTTGTGATATTGTGATGTATAATAAGAAATATATACTTGGTCTTCGTCCCCATTTCTGGCATAGAGCTCCTATAATCCTTGACGTTACCTAAGTGATGAGAGCAATAAAGGTGCCTTGATATTCATAACAAACCCCTTTCAACCACGTCTGAGTTTATGTTAATGCAGCGACTTTTGGAAAGCACCTAAGGACGGGGCCTTGTTGCCAGTAATCTAGTGAGTCAACTGGTTTCCCGAGTTCTGTGAGACACTCTAGCAAATTAATTGAATCCAAGGATGGGGCTGTGGGAACCTCTAATTTATACTTCAGAAGCACAGGTGACAACCTGGACTTGACATCGGCATTTGAAGTGGGGGGGGCAGTCTTGTGGGACTGAGCCCTTGGCCTGTGAAATCTGATGCTGTCTCCGAGTAGAGAGTGTCCGAGTTGAGTGGAATTGTAGGACACTCAGCTGCCTTTGGAGACTTCCTTGGTGTAGGGAGACAAA